ACCACACACACACAAACAGTCTCTGTTATTATTGTTACTATTATTCCTTCCCCCCCCCTTTTGTTATACGAGTGGATGCATTCCCGTCTTCCGCTTTCCCTTGTCCTTTCCTCCCTTGGCCGTCGCCATGCCATCCCGCACGCGACCTTCACCGCCGCGTCGACCTCGCCGTTCTTCTGCTACTTGGACTCGAACGATACGCGGCTGCCTGCCCACCCCACCCTCCTCCCCTACGCCCACCCCGCGGAGGACTACAACACCTACGTCGGGGAGGAGGTTTGGGATCGCCCGAGCGGCGATGGGACGGACAAGGCGGCTACCGACGAAGCGCCCGCCGACGACCTTCGCTTTGATGCGGTCGTGGCGTGGGTGTGGCAGGTTTGGGAGCGGGAGGACTGGGCCAAGGACGGCGTCGTGCTCTGCGGGCGTTACTGCGTCGCGAACGACTGCGCGTGGGCGGTGAGCTCGAACAGCCCCGTGATCTTCACCCCGCGGGAGTTGTTCATGGTGATGCGGAACTCCGTAAAGTTTCTGCGGGATATTCACACCCAGCTTCATTCGTCGTCGTCGGGAAACGCGGAGGCGGAGTTTACAATCGCGAAGGCCCTGGCCGGCGAGGGCGCAAAGGAGATGAGAGTGTTTCTACCCTATCGCCTCACCACAAATGAAAATAATGAATTACATCTCTCTCCGCCGCTTGAGCACTACGCGGCGGTTTGCCAACGGCTGACTGACGTTTGCTTTCCTTCTCTTATGGATTGGTCGGAGGAGGAGCATCATGAAAACTTCAAAGTGATTTTAAAACGCATTCAACAAGCGCAACTCTTGGAGCGTGCGTACGCGACAAATGGGAAACTGCTTCCAAAGTTAAAGGAAGCGTTTATAAGACGTGTTAGTAGAACAACTGGATCTACCAAACATCAATCCGGCACGGCTCAAAGGGGCGAAAGTCAAAATCTTATTCTTATGCTTGCAGTAGATATTCTTTTTGAGGGTTCATCGTTCCCGATTTACATCTTAAGCGCCAAGATGAGGCTTTTCTTCGTCAAACTAGCAGACTCCCTTAATCAGGAAGTTGGAAGTGATAAAGACGCCGTTGTGGGAGATTTGCCATATATTAAAGAGCTTTTAAACAGCGATAGTGACGATAATGATATTTGTGATACCAATGATCTTAATATCAACGATGATGTGTCTTCTTTTTCTTCGTTATCGAGTATCTCTGAGAATGATGAGACGAATGAGAGCCTTTTGGAGTTTTTCCGTCTTATTAGAGATCCATCGAATTGGAATCGTTATGTTAGGGTTATGGCCGAACGCTACGCTTCTAGTTTTACTTCTTTACAACAAACTTGCAATATTCAGGATGAGGCAGGATCTCCTTGTCTTATTCCTTTAGAGGAGGGTAACCCAATGGTGAATCATTATTGTATTGTAGCCTCTGATCCTATGGATTTGATTACATGTAGAGGAGATTTACGAATGAGAGGGTTACCTCTGGAGTTTATTGATCCACAGCTCCTTCAGGCGAACCCGGAAGCGATGGAATTCCTTCGAAACATGCGTGATGCGTTGGTTAATAATCAAAGTGAACCAAGTTCATGTTAAGGTTTTGTTTTTCTTTTTTCGCCTTCTCCCTATTCCTCATCAAAATGAAGAGATCTGTTGCGTAGGTATTATGGATGAGGATATCAACACAGAAAAATATTCTTTTATTTGATGGTACTGTTTACACATGTATACAAAGAGGAAAGGAGAGGGAAAGCAAAAACAAATATAAAACGTTAAAGAGGTAGTCAAAATGATTTTTGCTTGCATCTACTATTTAATGAATATTTATTTATTTCTGTGAGTTGTGCTTTAAATAAACATTTCATTAATGTGATAGTAATATATCATCAAAAATATTTTATACTATATATCCCTTTTTTTCTTTATTGATGAAAAAGTTTATTTTATAGTTGTTCGTGAAGAATGGGATGTGGCTAAAGAAAAACACACCCACTACTCTCACCACCAAACAACAATATTAATAAATACTCATAAATTAGATCAGTTTTCTCGAAAAGTGAAAACTCTATTGAACTGCGTATTATTATTACTATTATTATTTATATTACATCTAGATGGTTTTAGGAAAGGTAGTTGGGGGTGATCAACTCTACCGGATCGAGGAGCTTATTGCAAGAGGGGCCTTCAGCACCGTTTACCGCTGTGCTCACACGTTGACAGGGAAGTCCTACGCGATGAAGGTGATCTGTAAGGAAACCGTCCAACACTATCAAATGAAGGAGGCCCTCATTCATGAAGTCCACGCGATGGAGGTGGGGATGGGTTCTTCCTATATGGTGAGATTGGTGGACACTCTGGTCTCACAAAATAATTATTATATCATCATGGAACTTTCGGAAGGGGGGACTCTGTTGGAGCTAATCCGCACGCGTAGAGCGGCGGGTGGACCCTACGAGTGGGGGAAATCCCTATGCAAGCAGTTGTTAATCGGGATCGCAATCTTGCACGAGTCCAATATTGTGCATCGCGATATCAAGCCCGAGAATATATTATTAAATAAGGAAAAGACAAAAATCAAGATATCAGATTTTGGCTTTTGCTGTTATGCGGAGGAGGGCACGAGATTACATCGAGAGTGTGGGACATTAAGGTATTGCGCACCGGAGTTGCTACGGGAAAATCTTAGTTATGATGGACGGAAGGTTGATGTATGGGCAGCCGGGATTACGATTTACCTCGTACTCTTTGGTGTCCATCCTTTTCGATGCAAAAAAAGAGATCCAGATGTGATTTTGGAGCTTATCACAAAAACTCCGCCAACTTTTCCTCAAAAGGCTTCCCTGGAGGTGCGGGATATGCTGTCGAGGATGCTTGAAGTGAATCCAAATGAGCGATGGAGTGCAAAGGATCTTTTGCATCATCCATGGATGGAGAATGTAAGCACGGAGTATTCTCTCGAAAACGAAACATCTGTAATTAGAAACAGTTCCATTTTACATGAAATATGCAATGAAAACGCATCGCACTTTTTGCACACACCGATGACAACCGACATGCTAGAAGAACTTAATTCGTTTAGTAGCAGTGATAACGTTGATGATGGGTTTTACTGCTTAAGTCAGCTAGGGGAGGTGAAGGAGTCACTCATGATGGAGAAACTTGTGAAGAAAAAAATAGGAAAAAAGGAGGGGGATTCGAGTACGACGCCGATTTCATCACGGGAAGGCATCTCATTACATAGTTCAAGTACCGCATCTTCTCAGAGCAATGTTGCTCCTTCAAAAAGATGGCTTTCCTTCTCCTCATTTATGATCTGGCAACCCAATAATGATGATTTGAACAGTTCTGATTCAAATATCCAATGTCGACGCCTTTCGATTGAAATAAAGGAAATTATTTGTTTTTTTATCTTTTGCGTGGCTTTGCTTTTATTTTTATTAATACATTTCTTGTTTGGATGCATTGTTCAGAATTTCTGCTTGGCTCGAAAACTTACGGACATGCTCGAGTCGAGCCTTGCATCTATGTCTGAAATGATTCTTCCTTGCCGAAACGTTAACAATAGTGGTGGTAAAAATAGTAAGAAGCCCTCATCAAGCTTTCATGGGACTTTGAAAAATTCAAGGCGCGTTCAAATGCCTGTGGAAGAGGGTCACC